TGTATATAATTATTTATTGTATGTATGTATATATATATATATATGTGTGTGTGTGTGTGGGTGTGGGTGTGTGTGTGTGTGTGTATATATATATACCTTGCTTGGCAATTTGATGACGCTTATACGAAGTATTTATAAACCATCAATCTTCTAACTCGTGGCAGGTATGAAAATAGCGGTCAACTATCTTACTTAACTACCACCAAGCACATAATGAGCACGCAGGGAATCGACATATGAACCCGCATTTGACAAACTATGAAACCACACTATGTATTACAGTGGCAGGTATGAAAATAGCGGTCAACTATCTTACTTAACTACCACCAAGCACATAATGAGCACGCAGGGAATCGACATATGAACCCGCATTTGACAAACTATGAAACCACACTATGTACTACATACCACAGGCAAAAATACAATTCAACCCCGAAATCATAGTACACAACTGCGCACATGGACAGTACACTAACCAAATGAACGCGCCCATGCATCGGTGTACCTATCGAGCCTTGGCGGGTGGGCGTAGTACCATATCTCGCCTGTTATATTACAAATAAACTTCGCTGCATTGAAATGGGTGCACGCTTTTTAAAATCTGATTAACTGAATCCTCCTGCCAAGGTCAGCGCGGTACCGAATGGCTTGGGGCTGTTCCTGTACTACGCTGGCCAGTACTGGGAATTAACTTCCATATTTTACTGTACGTGTTTTATATACTGCTATTGTGAGCAAGTCAATACACTGTCCATGCGGTGTTGTGTACCTCTTGTCGTGTGTTTTGTGGGGTGTGCCAACCTATAGTACTGAATACTACACCCAGGCACAGATACACTCCGCAAGTCTTTCGCTTCGCGCGCATATCCATAATCCACCACCGACCCCTAGACGCACTAACGCTCGCTCAATGAGAGTCTCAGCCCAAATACACAGCCCATCTCAGCTACCATACCTCTCACCCAGTGTCATAGCAAACCACTGCAGGCTATATACCCTGAGACCCTTTTGCCTTGTATCTGCACCGGGTTCTACACTGGCCTGTGGGTCTAGTATCTTGGCTGGGGTACTGTCTCCGCTGTTCGGGACATCTTGGTTGGGTGAGCTACGTGATATGTTGCATAGTGGGTTTGGTTCCTTCTCCTGGTCCACCCGCGGTTGCCATGGCAACCCGAGGCCCCTGGCATGCACTGGTCACTCACGTATCTGGGAACACCTGACTATCTGCCACTGAGCACTCCACTGTGTCGCGTCTCACGACGCAGTTCATAGTTCACAGCTATAGTGTACGATACGATGCAACGCCATGCTGTGTTGTTTGACATCATAACAGACTGTGTTTTATATTACGGCCGAGTCAACCACAAGGCCACAGCCACAGCTACAACTACAGCCACAGCTACAGCCACAGTCACAGCTACAACTACAGCCGCAGCTACAGCCACAACTACAACTACAGCCGCAGCTACAGCCACAGCCACAGCCACAGCCACAGCTACTCGTCATCATCCGACCCCTCCGCCCCCACCTGTTCCATCAAGGCTCCTGCGTGCACCGCCATGTCCAAGCTCTCGCTCACTCCCGTGCCGCTCTCACTCTTTTTGGTCGCGTCTTTGAGTCGCTTGGCCACCAGCTCTACGATGGCCCGATCCGTTCGACGGTCCAATTTGTCCATGCGCTTGGTCAGGTCTCTTTGTAAGTCCCAGGTCACTTTTTGGGGTGCGAGTTTGGATACATCGACCGTGGCTGTGGAATGTAGCGGTAGGTAATTGAGATTGGCAACGGCCGCCCTACGTTGTGACCTGAGCTATATCTCCAGTCGCTGGCGGCGTTTGGGAGGTACCTACTGAACCACCCACACGTTTCTACATATACACCTACCTACAACACACACATGGACATGTATGTAAGCACTGACACCCCATCCACATCACCCCTATACTGAACCACCCACACGCTTCTACATATACACCTATCTACAACACACACATGGACATGTATGTAAGCACTGACACCCTATCCGCATCACCCCTAGCTCACGTACCCATGACTTCGGCGTTGATATCTATCATCTGCTTCTCTTCCTCTGCCAAGTCCAGTTTGGCCTGATCTTTCGGCGTGACCTTATCACACGCGTGCAGCACAGGCACTTCACTGACCGGTTGATAGTTGCGCAATCGGATGCTTTCGATCACTTCCTCGGTCTCCTCTCCGTCGCCGTCAACTGCATATCAACAAATGGGATTGCGCCAGTTAAGGGGCTTGAGCCCACGTGGTGGTTGCTAAGCACTGTAGTGTGTGATTAATTGGCTGTGTGTATTGGGTGTTGTTATATGCTTACGAGTGAGTGATCCAATCATGTTTTA